ATTAACAGAGAACACCAGCAAATTGCTGCTCGTGTTTGTCTGGCATAACAGTTACAGAATTGAACTGGGATTGTGCTGCTGAATTTATTGCTAACTTGCTACTGGGAAAGGAATATTGCAAAAACATGTAAAAATATGTCAGCTGTAACTCCTGAACCTTAAATGTTTACTTTCCACTTTTTAGGAGGAGACAGTAATACTGGGAAATGGCAGAAGCAATTTTTCATCCCCCAAGAAGGAAAAGAAGAGTTTTTGAGACATATGAGTCTCCCTTTCCTGTGGATGTAGGTGGGAAGGATTTCAGAATATGCCAGGCTGAAATCATGAACAACAATGTTATTGTGAGGAACCCTGAAGATATTGAACAGCTTTATAGCAAGGTGCTGTACCCTGTTTGCACAGTATTTTTAGTGTTTTAAACATAGGTAAAGCGTAATACTTGTTAAAATCTGCCTGCCTTTATGCTTTCCTTCCCCTTTAGCCTCCAGTTATTCTCCATATCTCCCTCCTCTCCTGAAATCAGTACAAAACACGTATTCTCTAGCACATGTGAAAAGCATTTAATTCTTATCCCAGCAAATGAATTTTGGAATGAAGTGAGGTTGTGAGCTAAAAAACAGCTGCCAGAACTTCATGTTTGTTATATTTATTTCTCTTTTCAATATTTTATGCAAACTTGAAAAAGCATTTTCTTGTTTCTAAAGCTCAGGAGGTCAGAATATTAATATTTTATAAATACTTGTAGAATTCTTTTAACTTCAGAGTGATTTCTTCCTGAGTAACACAGGCTGCATTTTAAGCCTCTTATGTCCAACTACCATTTATTTCACTGCCATTTTTATGCAGTAGCTTTATCCATCTCTTTGTTATTTACTGCATCATCACAGCATTAATACACAGGTGTTTTCTTCTGTGTCTGCTTTCAAAAGTCTGCTTGGAGATGTCCACTGACAAATATTTAGAATTGAGGAGAAAGACCCAACACCCTCCACTGGTTAAATGTTTGAGTGCAGGTGTTTAGTATTGAACTAGTTATCAAGCTAAAGCACAAGCTTTAGGCAAAACTTAAGTGCTGCAGAATTTCTGTTATTTTTTCAGCAGATCTTGACAGTAAACATTTTATATTTGGAAATAAGTTAGTTTCTGTCTGGTGATATAATAAGGATTTTTCCTTTTCTTTGAAGGGCTATTTTGGAAAAGGGATCCTTTCAAGAAGTCGACCAGTGTATAATATTTCAGATCCTTCACTGGTTGCTAAGTGGCAAGGTAAATTGTGCCTGTTTGTATTTCCGTCACTATTCTAATAGAGCTTTTCACTTCTCTTCACTCATTGAAGATACATGTTTATAAATTACACACAGGAAGATAATTTCTTTCCTGGGTCAGATCAAGGATCTGTCTCTCCCCAGACCTTGTCTCTGATGATGGCCAGTACCAGATACCTGGGAAAAATACAAGAACAGGAAATACATGTCGATAGCTCCTTAGTGCATTCTCCTGCCCTTCACTGATTTGGTGCTTAGGAGGTGTGTAAGTAAAGGCATCATCCTTGGACTTTTCTTCCTATAACTGTCCAGTTTTCCTTGGTTTTAATTTGTAGATTTTAGTGTCCATGAAATCACGATTCTTCCTGTAACTGTCCAGTTTTCCTTGGTTTTAATTTTGTAGATTTTGTAGATTTTAGTGTCCATGAAATCACGAGACAAGAGTATGTGGCATTTTTAAGCTCATAGCTAATGAGATCTGGTCTGCTCTTGGTTGTTTACAGAAAGACTGTCTTTTTACAGGCTGGAGGAAAATAGTGTATTTAGTTGTTCTGCTTGTGTAGTTCGTTATCTCTGTACCTTTTCTACTTCTGCTATGTCCTTCTTGAATACAAGTTGGACCAAAATGGCAAAAAGGATTCAAAATGTGGGTAAATATTAGGCCACAGATTACCTCAGTGCTCAAAATCAAATGAAAACACTTCTACATTGATGAAACAATGTATGATTTTTTTCTTTACACAGGTGCTAACATAAACATGCCTATAATTGCATCAAAAAAGTAAGTTAATTTACATTATTTGTGTGTTTGTAGAAAACAGTTGCTTCTATTTTATGTTTTATCTTACTGGTTTTCAGACAGTTTGCTATATACATGCTGATGACTTGCTTCTATTTATTTTCTTTGTATTTCATTTATAAATCACATTAGAAAAAGCAGAGATAAATAGGTGATATTCAGCATGGTTTTTCATGTAAGCTCACCTATATTAATTGCTGACTAGAAGCCAAGATTGAGTGCATGCATAGTAGTATGGGTAATTAATTCATGATAATATCAACTATAATAAACTTGTTCTTCAGCTGAGGAGGAGAAAGAGAAGTTTCTGGGGCAGGCTATTTAAAATAACTTTCCCAATTCCTTATTGAATTAATACAGTGTGGGCTGAAGCAACTCTTGAACTTTTATAATACATAAATGTTTTACTTTTTTTTTAAGTCTCTATTAGCATTGCTAGTTTGTACGTTTAACAAAAGAGAGTGTTGGACCACATAGTCATTTCCTTCCACTTGAATAATATATGAACTCACTGAAGAGAGTGCAAGTTGGTTACTCTGTTTGCTTTAATCCTATGGTAACTCTAAAAGTTTAAAACTCTAAAAACTTTGCTTAAATTTAAAAGTCATGCTCCTTCAGTCCTCGGCGTTAGGTAAGACAAACAGTAGCAATATTACTCCTGCTGCTACTGCAGTTATTACTACTTGCAGGAACACTTGTCATTATTAGTCTGCTTGGTGACTGCTTTATGTGTCAGCAGATACAGCTGAGCATCAATGGAAGTGTCATTACGTTGGTGTAGGAGATGCATCATGTAGATCTCAGCAGAGATCTGTAAGTGCAAATTTCATGGTAATTAAATCAAAGGACAAAGAGGAGTCTGGTTTTTTATAACAAAAAGTACAGCATTGAATTATACGGTTTTATTATGAGGCTTCAGAGGGACTTTTGTGTTGTCAGATGACATTTGCATTTAATTGTCTCTGTAGTTCTTCATAACCTGGTCTGTAGCTGCTCTGTTAGGATTTTGTTTTGGGAAATAAAGAATATTGCAGTAGAGTTGTCTGTGTCTGAGTAAGGACAGCAGCCCTCAGCTGCCTGCAGCTTTCACAAAATGAAGATTAATGTCTTCATCTGGATATTAATGCTATCTTCCAAGGAGAAATCATTGCAGGGGCATTAAAAACTAACAACTGGGATTATCATAATTGAAAAATACTGGAAATATTTAAAACTCGCAGCTACCATCTCAGTGATGGGATTATTGTTATTTCTCAGGGATGTGAGGGTTTTGGGTTAAACTGAAGGCAGTTTCTGCTTAAGATTTTTTATGCTGGTGTTTCTGTTACACCATTGCTTCTTTCATAAATAGTGAAAACAGAGTTTTTAAGATACTGTTCTTAGTAGCTCGCTGTATAATAGACGAAGTGTGTGAGAGATGTATATGCAGACTCTTGATGCATATTTTAACCATGCAGGCTCTGATACCAAGATGTTTTTGCAGGGAATTCAGGCTTAAAACTTCTGTGGGAGAAGGGAGTTTTGCCTGGTGAAGTTCTTGCTTCTTAAAACTGTATAGCAGTAGTCCTTGTGCAGAGTTCAGGAATGAGCTTTGTTGCCACAGAAATTTAAAAGGCAAAACAAAGCCAAAGAAGGTAGCAGAGTCTTGATGTTCAGCAGTGTCATCTGCAGCTTCCTGAAGACTGGAGTCCTGTTAGATTGTGCATGTTGTATTTTGCATAGCAGCCATTGGGGGCTGTGTTCAGATTTGTTCTGTGAACTGTGTTGAACCTTCTTTTTTTAAGGTGCTTATTTTTCAGGTGTTAAATAAAGGATATAACACATTAGAACTTCTCATTTGTTTTACTTGTTTACTAGGTACCAATATCATGTTCAGTGGGCTAAAAGTATTTTGCAAGAGCAAGGATTTGATGACTGCTCGGTTACCAAAATTCTTGAAAATTACACTAAGCCTCTTGAGCTGCCATTTTTGGAAGAGGATGGAGCTGAACAAACCAGTGTTAGTTGCAGCAGAATGGGCCCAAATGCAGAAAATACAGAACTTTCTGAACAATCTTCTACCGCCACTGGAAATGTAGTAGCCCCAAGTCCTGAGAATCAGAATGAAGGCTACAAGAAAGCCTGTTTGGAAGGAGATCCAGCCTTTGATCCTGTGGCTGTATGTGGCTCTAAAGAACAGGAACAAGGTGACTCAAAAGAGATAGCTGAAGTGTCTTGCCAGAAGCATGGTTTTCTTGTGCATTATGGCTGCAAGGTGAAGGAGAGCACTGAGCAAAGATCTTGTGAGATGATAAAGCCAAAAGAATGTGCTCCAGAGTATGTCTTGGTGCAAGAGGAAGAAGAAGGTAGCTTAAATCCTGAAGATGATTCTGCTCATGTGCAAGAAAATGTGAGGATAAAGAGTTTTCTAATCTTCTAGAAAAATTGTATCATTGGTGCTATTTTCAGAATTCACTATTTTTGTAGTTTAAAGTGTTAGTAATGTAGTAATTTTTTTCTTGTAGCCTGTCAAGAAGGAAAAACTAGTATGCAGAAGAAATCCATTTAGGATTTTTGAATATTTACAACTCAGCTTGGAAGAGGTATGTTTCAAATACAGTACAAGTTGTTTTAGGTTTTAATCCAAAAAGTAAATATTAATCTATGTTACAACATAATTTAATACCTGTTTCTGAAGTACAAGGTTCTTCTGTGCCTCCTAAATATTTGGATTGTATTAGTAAACTAATTTCTAATAAACAGTGGTAATTACATGATATGGTTTTAAAAAAAAAAGTAGGGTCCAATCCTATTTGTTTTATATGAATAATCCCACTCACAAAGAGACCAGTGATAGGACTAAAGTATGGAACTATCAGGGATATAACATTGGTATAAATCCTGCTTCTGTTGTGCTGCTTCTAAAGAGATTCACGTGTTAGGTTTAACACAGTGCCTTCAGGAGTCTGCAGCACATGCATAGATTTTTTGTAGTGCTATGTGTAAAGGTCATGAAGACAGATCTGAAAGGAAACTTTCAGGCAACTTGTTTGTCTCGATAACATCAATATTCTTGTATAAAACTAATTTAAGATCTTGTTCTTGCATTGAATATAAACTACAGGAAGAGTCTTGCTAGCAGTTAAACTTACTCTGTTTATTTTTTTCAGGCTTTTTTCTTGGTGTATGCTCTGGGATGTTTGAGTATTTATTATGGTGAGGTAAGAGATTGCATTCATTTTGGATTACTGGGTGTACCATTAGTTTTGATATGTTTTGGTCTGAAATTTTTACTGACTATGGCAGTGTTTTATGCTGTTAATTCTGAAGGAGGAAATACCAGAGTAATTGGAAAGTTTTTCTTAAAAGTAATGATATTTCTGTTCATTAAATACTAGTCTGAAAGTTTTCCATTTAGCAAGGCAAATATAGCTAAGCACAGTCTTTCTATAGAGAAAGAGCTTTATTATAATTAGGCAGGAAATGTGGGAAAAGTAAGTATGGGAGCAATAATGTGGCAAATACTCTGTCTTTCCTGAAACAGGAAAATTCCCTGGAGTTTTAACCATTAATCTAGAAGTATATCAAGCTACTGTTAATATAATGATGAAATAATTTAAACCTCTGCTTCTATTTTTTTATCAGAGTTCCCTTTAAACAAGGGCATTATGGGACTAATTGCGATATGCTAAAAAAAACCCTAAATGGAGCAACAGGTTTCTGTCTTTTATTTAGAGATTCCATATTGTATTGCCCAAAGTTCATGTGCTTTGCAGTGGAGTGTTGTATTTGCTACTTGGCTGTTACACTCTACTACACACAGTATTCTGTATCTGCTCTAATATGAATGTAGTCATGTGAATGCCTCTGGTTGTGATTTTTAGGAACCCCTAACTATTTTGAAGCTATGGGAAGTGTTCAGTGAAGTGAAGCCCAACTTTAAAACTACTTACATGGCCTATCACTACTTCCGCAGTAAGGGCTGGGTCCCCAAAGTCGGACTGAAGTATGGAACTGATCTCTGTGAGTAGCTTCCTTAAAAAAAATTGAATCATTTGCAACTGACTTCTTTTCAGGCACTGCAAGACTCCAGTGCCAAAGATGAATTCAGTAATGAGGAGCTGCGTGACTGGAGCAGCCTTTGCTACTTGCAGTTGGCAAAAGATATTTTTGACTAGGCTATGGGTTAGCAATAAAGTTAAGATGTGAGTGAAAAATAACATCCCATCCAGGAGCTGAAGAGAGAGCTCAAAGGCCTGTTGTTTTGCTTCATTAGGTTAGTAATAGATACAGGATTGCACTGAAATTCCCTTCTCAAGTTTCTCTGTCCCCTCCTAAACACATCTGCAGTGTTAACATGATAATCTTTAGGATAGCAGATTTGCATCTAGAGCCCAATTCACATCAAAGTCCACGCATCTCATTATTCATCCAGTGTAATGGAAGCTGGACTTCTGCTGAACGTGCTGCTGAGACTGTTTCTTTGTATGGTTGGGGTTTTTTTTGGTGGGGAGGAGGAGGAAGGGACTTGCTTGTTTTGTTAAGGGTAGGGTTTTAATCTTACAGAAATAATTAGTAGCGCCCATAATCCCTTGCTAAGTCATTTGAGAACTACATTCAGCTCATGTCAATGTAAACAGTACAGTAATGCCTGTTGTTACAGGAAAACGTGCATGAAGGGAGATATTTTTAATGTATCCATGCAAACCAGCAGGTGTATAACCTTGGGATTTGTGTATTTGCGTATGTCAAGGTTGTGCTGAGCTAGTCCTTCAGATCAGTGTGTAGGTTTGGCTGAATTCATCATGACTGTTCTTAGTACCCTGGGTTGTAGATGAGGTTTTGCTCTTGATCACCTGATCATAGAATCATAGAATAGATTGGGT